TGCATCTTCTTAGTTTCCTTAAATGGGGAGGGAGAGACCGGTTTGACCCTGGCCTGGTTTCCACTGTGTGTTGCATCGTATGTCCGTTGGACTGACAGGTGAAAAAGGCAGGTTGAGACTGAAGAGTGGTTTCTTACAGTCAGCTCACCTTGCATAGGTGTTGTCCTGGGGCCATCTTACAGAAGTCTGCCCTGTGAACGTTTTGAAGTTCTGCATTCAGAATTCATATCTGAAAATCTTGGCTGTAGGACTTAAGAGATATATCTGCTAATTTATATTCTAGTAGCATTGCTCTGATTGACGTGTGTGGTGGTTATGTTTATTAGTTTACTACTCTTGTAAGTCTAGTGGTGAGAACATGGAATTATGGATGTTTTCACTGGCATCAATATTCGTAGTAGTTACCAGCAAAGATCTCCAGATGGGAAGCTGTACCACAAACAGTGGGAGAATAGGAAGATCTAGAGAAGAAAAAGATGGCAGTTCCTCCTTGTGTTTAAGTACGTTTTGCTTTTTGTGCTCGTGATTTAACAGATGTCGTCTTCTTTATGCAGGGCTATAATTGAAGTACAAGATGGCAAGAACCAGCCACAGCAACTATGTCCTTCAGCAGCTAAACAACCAAAGAGAGTGGGGCTTTCTGTGCGACTGCTGTATCGCTATCGATGATATTTACTTTCAAGCACATAAAGCAGTTCTTGCTGCATGCAGCTCCTATTTTAGGATGTTTTTTATGAACCATCAACACACTACAGCCCAGCTGAATCTAAGCAACATGAAGATTAGCGCTGAATGCTTTGATCTTATTTTACAGTTCATGTATTTAGGAAAAATTATGACAGCCCCTGCCAATTTTGAGCAATTTAAAGTGGCCATGAACTATTTACAGCTATATAATGTACCTGAATGTCTAGAAGATATACAGGACACAGACTCATCTAGTTTAAAATGTTCATCTTCTGCTTCTAGCACCCAGAATAGTAAAATGATATTTGGCGTGAGAATGTATGAAGACACACTTGCTAGAAATGGCAGCGAAGCAAACAGGTGGGGCATGGAGCCGCCAAGTTCAACAGTAAATACATCCCATAACAAAGAGGCTGATGAAGAAGCTTTGCAGCTAAGCAGCTTCCCCGAACAACTGTTCGATGTCTGCAAAAAAAACACCACGTCCAAATTCTCTCACACGAAAGAGCGCGTGTCGCACTCACGCCGTTTTGGAAGAAGCTTCACCTGCGACAGCTGCGGGTTTAGTTTCAGCTGCGAAAAGCTACTGGATGAGCACGTGTTAACGTGCACTAACAGGCATTCCTACCAAAGTGCCAGGTACTACAGTGCTGAAAAAATAGACTTTAACGAAAAGGACTCTACTTCTAAAATAATCTCCACGCAAACAGAAAAATACAAGGGGGACTCGAACCAAGCTGCGGAGGATTCTTCATCTCCCGTGTCAAACATCACAAGCAGAAAAAGCAGCACAGTTGCCTCCGAGACATCAGGTGAAGAAGGAAGTAGAGCCTCTGAGAGGAAGAGGATTATCATCAAGATGGAACCAGAGGACAATCCTGTAGACGAGCTGAAGGATTTTAATATTAAGGTGGCTGATAAAGACTGCAATGAGTCCTCCGAGAATGACGACCTAGATGATGAACAGGAAGAGCCGCTTTACAGATACTATGTTGAGGAAGAGATCAGAGAGAAGAGAAATGCTCGGAAGACTTTAAAACCTCATTTATCTATGGACGAGGATGAAAGGAAGTGTTTGAAAAGTCCGCGGCACCTAAGCAGGAAGGCTCCTTCAGTGAAGGAAGACGTGGAGAACGCTCCCTGTGAACTTTGTGGGCTAACAATCACCGAGGAAGATTTGTCCTCTCATTATTTATCCAAACACATAGAAAATATATGTGCATGCGGCAAGTGTGGTCAAATACTGGTCAAAGGCAAGCAGTTACAGGATCATGCACAGACCTGTGGAGAACCCCAGGATCTGACCATGAACGGTATCAGAAATTCTGAGGAGAAAATGGACTTAGAAGAAAACCCCGAGGAGCAGTCGGAAATAAGGGACATGATGTTTGCAGAGATGCTAGAGGACTTCAGGGACAGTCACTTCCAAATGAACAGCCTTCAAAAAAAACAGTTATACAAGCATTCTGCCTGTCCTTTCCGATGCCCTAATTGCGGTCAGCGTTTTGAAACTGAAAACCTAGTGGTTGAACATATGTCGAACTGCCTGGAGCAAGATCTGTTCAAGAACTCCATGATGGAAGAGAACGAGAGGGATCACAGACGTAAGCATTTCTGCAATCTTTGTGGGAAAGGATTTTATCAGCGTTGCCACTTGCGGGAACACTATACCGTTCATACCAAGGAAAAACAGTTTGTTTGTCAGACATGTGGGAAGCAGTTCTTAAGAGAGCGCCAGTTGCGGCTCCACAATGATATGCACAAAGGCATGGCCAGGTATGTCTGTTCCATTTGTGATCAAGGAAACTTCCGAAAACATGACCATGTACGGCATATGATATCTCACTTATCAGCTGGAGAGACTATATGCCAGGTCTGCTTTCAGATATTCCCAAATAATGAGCAACTGGAGCAGCACATGGATGTTCATCTGTATACATGTGGAGTATGTGGAGCAAAATTTAATTTGAGGAAAGATATGAGATCTCACTATAATGCCAAGCATTTGAAAAGAACGTAAGCGTAAACATACTGTTAAAGCATTAAGTTGGCAGCAGAGAGAACACCAAAGCAAGGCATACAGTATAGTAGACAAAACTTGAGAAAAAAAAAAATTTGAAAATAAGTATCTTTTTTATTATTTTTTTTAAGCCCTCCTAACCATAGGTGTCTATTTAGGCTCATTAAGTATATAGCTTTGAAAAGCATCATGTGTTTAATTATTACATTTTCACTGTTTCCTAATATCAGTTTCTGTTCTTAATTTTATTGTTTTACTAAGTAGATATACAAATCATTATTTTTAAACTGTAGATTAAAAGCACAATGTTACCCCTTCACTGACTGCTATTAAACAGTTCTCGGATCCATGTCCGTAAGATGAGTGCTTTAATATTTCCATGTGTTGTTTCTTCATGTGAAAATTTTAGATCACAGTAATTAACGTGCGAGAGCATAATTGTTCATAATCCCCAAATTAATTTTCAAAATGAAAAAAAAACACATCAATGCCAAGAAATAATCCTTTGCTCTCTGACTCTGCTGTAAGGGCAGAGCTGGCTCTCCTGGTCCTCTGCTTCTTGGCTTTCTTGGAATGTAGGCTCAGTTAAACCTTGCAGACTTGGACTGGTGTGCGCAAAGGGAAAGGAAGTTAATGACTGTCGGGATAACCGAGGAGTTCCTAGCAGAGCGGTCGTTTTCCAGACTCAAAGTCCTAGCAGAACTGTACACATGGCATTGGCCTTTGTTTTCTCTCTGTACCTACGTGGGTATATATAACCTGCCTATCCGAATATTCAAGGGAAGAGTGGCTGTGGTGGATTGCTAGGAATGCAGAACAGCGATGTGTTGAAGACTGCATTTCTCAGCCTAGCTGTAAATAGTGCCTTGCTGCTTGTGTTGGAAAGTTAGAAGTGGGATGGATGTGAAGATAGTCCCATTGCTTGGGCTGGGAGGGGAAGGGGAAGTGATGCTCATGTGAGCCTTAGGTTTTTTGTTTCTTGCTTTTATGATACTTTCTGAATGTTCTGTTTTTCAACCAGAATATAACAAGAAAAGACTGCAGAGTTTGCTTAATAAATGTAAAGACATTTTATGCCTTTTAAGATTCCTTTCTGATTCTAGTATAGCCCTAATCTGTGTAGCTTGTCTCTGAATTTAATTCAACTTAAAAATCCTACTACGTATCAGCTGACGTCAATTCAGCGAGGCAGTTTGGCCTTTGCGAGAAGGACCGGCTTTGACTCGTAGGCACCAGCTGTCTAAACGTTTGCTAAGTGTGTGATTTTTAATGGGAGGAGAAAAGGATCCTAATATGTAACGGTGGAGGAACTATTAAAAATAAACCCCAGCAGTGCTTTCTCCCAGCAGATCTCACTTCAGCAATGAGGGTCGTGATGCTGTTTCCCACTGAGCTGTGGAGGGAGGAAAGCAATTTAGGTCATCAATTAAGGCAGTTGAACTAGATGATTGTCGTAGGTCCCTTCCAGCTGAAATACTCTGTTCTGTCACCTTGTGTGCCTGTGGTGGGGTTGAGAATAGGAGCCAGGAGCTGAGGGTGTAGTCCAGGGCTTTCGCCCACTTGTTGCTGTTGGAGTTGAGTTTTGATCCCTTGTTTTTTGGGGATTCCGAGGGGTGTTGAGCTTCAGCGTTAGACTATTTAGAGAAATTAATACAGTTGAGAATCTTCACTATATGTAAATTAGTATGAGTTGCCTTGCATTTATTCGGTTTTAAATGTGCATTAGAATTTCTCTTAGATGGTAGACGTGTGTGTTTCTGCCGTGATGCAGAAGGACCTCCCACCAGGTGTGAGTCCTGAGCCAGCAGCTGGCTCCCCGGGCACTGGCTGCTTCGGATGCAGTTTGGGCCTTCAGCATTTTCCTGTAACTGCTCAGTCCTGTGTTTTCTTGTATGATGCTGAAGCCAACCAAATCCTGAATAACACTGGGGCCAAGACGACCACAGACGTGAATGCACTGCAGCATTTCAGTTAATTCAGAGCTTCCTCCTTCTAGGATTTATTCCACATTCCCATCCCAACCAAGACTGAAACTGAATGTGCAAGAGTTCAAAGAATAAGCGAGATGGGTATTTTAGCACCTTTTAGCATTGGAATCAGTACGAAGGTGATTATAAGACTCTTGAAAAGACAAAATATTTAACTATAATGATGATCTCAGAGATGAAGTAGTTTGTCAGGTGCTGTAGTGGAAGAGTTGGGGGGGTTAATACACTGCACGCAGCAATTCTCTGCCATGCAGGTTATCTCTTATGGTATCAGCTATAGCTGGACTGGGAAAAGCAGCCAAGGGAAGCAAGAGAACTGGAGTGTGCTGGGGGAGCTGGCGGAAGAGTCTTGTGGCGCTGGGGAGCAGGAAGGCTGAGTGGGAGAGGAGGGATGGACAATGGCTGGGAGGGCAGAATTGGAGCTGTGCAGTAGGAAGCAAATCCCAGAAGTGGCATGGAGGAGCGGCTGGAGGAGTGTATAAAATGTCCTGTAGATGCCTGTGAGACCAGAGCGAGAATGACTCAGCTTGGCTGGGAGAGCCATCAGCCCGGGTGATGAGCTCACTACAGCACAAACTCGGAGCACGGACTGCGTACCAAGTACAGCCAGCTCCTTTGCTGGAAGGACTGCAGTGGCACAGCACAGCCTAGATTAAAGACCTTGTTGAAAAGGAGGAGGTGACCTCTGCAAACTAAGAGATCATTCCTGAATACAGTGAAGGGCTAAGAGTGATTTATAGGAGACTCCTGCTCGGGGTCAGGAGCCCTCGTTTACAATGTATTGGTCTGAACTTGACCCAGAAACGTTTCACAGAAAAGTTACTTCCTAGTGTAAGTAGGCCTGCCAACTGCAGAAGTTAAATGGAGGAACTGGGAATGATATGTGGACTATCTAACTTTATAAAGCACCCTGGAATACCTTTATTTTCAATTATAAGCCATGTTGTAGTAGCCTTTCAAAGAAAAGCTTACTAAAGCTTTCCAACTGAACTTGAATTAATGTTTTTTTCCTGTTCTTGTAAAACAAAACCCAGTGTCTAGGAGTTCACATGTATGAATGTCCAGACTAAGGCTCCAAAAGAGCATGAATTGCACTGCAGGAGAGCTTGAAAGTGGATCTACTTGTGTGTAGGCAGAGAAAACCAGAATGACTGCAGTAGCGTGAAAAGTGATCAAGGGATGTATAGGAGAACAAATCACAGGTGCTAAGGCACAAATAAGACAGCCTGGCTTGCAAGTAGGTGGGGAGTTCATGGTGACGTGTAAAAGTGTGGGACGATTGAAGAAAAGGTGTGGAGTGACGAGGAATTTGTCTGCTGTGAACAGGGAGAAGGGGTGGGTGCTGAGGCAGCCTGGGGCTGGTCACTCCTGGGGACAGGGGTGCTCTCCCCAGAATGGGACAACATCCACAGGAGAGTGAAATGATGGTGTTTCAGTGCTCCTACCATGATAAATTTACCACGGAGATAGAACGAAAGCAGACAAAAAAAAAAATAAATTGCAGTTAACGATATCCTGGAAGTCTTCCTGTTTCTTGAAAGACAGTGAAGGGGAAGGAAAAATAGTTCATTTAGAATTCTGTTTCCTCTAACAAATTTGTACCTCTTGGTCATCATCATATACTTCCTTTGCATCTCCTTACTGCACTATGTGGACTTAGAGTTTAAAAGCACTGAAGGATCTTTGAGAGTGGAGGTGTAAGCGTATCACATTGCACAAGGTGTAGCCAGGAAGAAGACGACTTGCTGGATGTTCTGATTTACATTTTTAAGTGTTCTGCTATTCTTATTTTTTGGGGATCTCTCTCTGTTCTGTTGTTTTCCTTATTTTGGCAGTGGAGTGGGTTGCGACCCTGAAAATAATTTATAACTAGTCAGCCTAGGTCTTAGCTTTCAGGATTTACTGGAAGTTAGAAAGAGGGAATTCATGAAGACATGGAATGAGCTTTAAAATACCACAAAATCTGTTGAGCTCCTTTATCAGTTTCAGAAAAGAAGTTTCAAATGTTAAAAAAAAAAATGTGTGTATATATATTTATATATACTTGTAAATGCTTATTGGCAACTTACTAATTCAAAGAGTATTTATATTTGTGTATAACGATATTTGTAGCAAACAGATCTATGGAGAAATCTTGATTTGAATAGATTACAATGTCACAGAATTCTAAGAATTTATGCTTTTGTTAGGGGACTTCTCTATTTAATATTTTCAGTTAATGGAGAAAATACAATTCAGCATATTTTTTTTATTAAAAGCTGAAGACAGAAAATGTACTGCCCTGGAGAATATATTAAAAATACATTGTTATAAAAGTGAATACTTTGACTACACTATTGTATTTGAACACACTTGTGCTAAACCATCAAGAGTATCTCAGCTATCGGCGAGGATGTGAGTTTGCTCCTGAAGGCAGTGCCACCTTGAGCCGTGGAGCCCCTTCCTCGTTCCCACCTAGTTTCAGCTCTCATATCCCATGTGTGCCACCCTCTCCTTTGTCAAAAAGCACATATTTATGTAGCTTCACAATGAACTGAATCAAACAACGGGCTTTTTTGTATTCCCTGTGGGGCTCTTTTTCAGCTGGAGCAGTTCC